AACACGGCTAAAAATAGTGTCGGCTGGCACGTGGCCCAGATTTGGGAGCCCAGAAAAGGCTGAAGGGTAAATAAGAAGGGCCCCTGCTTCAAGAGGAGGAGAGGCAGTGAGAAGCTGGGGCCTTGTAGTGAAACAGGGGAGGGGTGAGGATTCTTTAAATAACGCTGCCCTCTGCTCTCAGCCCAGACAGACTGCCTCACAGAGTCTTCTATACACACTCTGGGGTTTATACATGCAATTTGCTGTCGTTTTTCTTTTTACTTGACTCATGACCATATTTGCTAGTGGAATACGGACTGCTGGACTGCTAACTTGACATATGTACACACAGTGTGTCTCGGTCGCTTAGAGTAGGTGGCATTCCCCATCCTTAAACAGCTACTCATTCCTTACAAGGGAACCTTTGAATGCCTTTTTTTTTTCTAGTTATTTAAAAAGTTATATCCCCCCCCACACACAAGCACATTTTTAGAGTATTTAAAGATCAGCAGGCACTTGCTGTCACCCAGGGCCTGAGTTTGCTCCCAGCACATGGTACCATACGCCTGTGACCCCTGTGCTGGGAAGACAGAGATGGGGGATACCTGGGGCTCCCCACAAGCCCATATCCCAAGCAGAGACTCAGAATTTAAAAAAATGAAAAAAAAAAAGATGGCTTCAAAGGAATGTTAACACACACACACACACACACACACACACACACACACGCACCTTCTTGTGAGGGCTGGCTGGTCGGTCAGCTTGGAAGAATCCACAAGTTCCGGGTAAACATGAGAGACTATCAATGGAGCTCTGGGCCACACGTGCAACAAGGGGATCACCACACCCTCCACACACTCCCCGTCTCAAGTTCAGGGACCATAACAGAAAGGGAGGCAGAAAGAAAGAAAACTGGAGCAAAACGGTGTCTTCTGGACGTGAGAAGGCCACTGAACTCCGTAAGGAACAGCAGCTGTGCACGACCCTTAGAAGATGAAGCCATCGACGTGCTGGCCCTGAGTAGGAAGAGGTTCGTGGAGCTCCTCCTCTGAGCTGCTGTGGACAGGTGGCTTCTCAGAGAGGAAGAGTCAGGTTTCTTCAGGGGTATGGCCCCTGGCACGCTGACCTCCCTCCAGGGACACCCACACCCTGTGCATGCGCAGCACAAACTGGACTCAGCGGCTTATTTTTTAAAAGGAGGACATGAAACTGGAAAGGGGTGGGGAGGGGAGGGATGGATCTTGGAGGAGTTGAGAAAAGGAGTGGGAAGTGAATGTAATTAATGCACTGCATGAAATTCTCAAGGAATAAATTAAAGTATTATATTTTTAAAAGAAGCAAAAATAAGTAGTTTCATAGCAAGAAAACAAAAGTGAGAGACAATGCATCAAAAACAGGGCAAAAGGTACCTGGGGGACTTCTAGGATGCTTCCCAGTCTCTAACGACCACTGTTCTGCTTCCTACTTCCAGGAGATGAACTCTAAGTGGTTTTAATCTTAAGCTTTGTTTGTCGGTTTGTTTTGAGACAGGGTCTTTCTACATAGCCCTGGCTGTCCTGGACTTCACTATGTAGATCAGGCTGGCCTCCAACTCACAGAGATCCTCTTTCCTGTGCTGGGTTAAAGGCATGCACCACCATGCCTAGCTTAATCTTAATCTTTTTATGCCAATGCTTTTACTGTATTTGTTAGCTTGTCTGCGGTGTGTGTGTGTGTGTGTGTGTGTGTGTGTGTGTGTGTGATGACACACGGAATCGAGAGGACTACTTGCAGGAGTGGGTTCTCTCCTTCCACCATGTGGGTCTTGGGGGTCAAACTCGTGTTGTCTGGCTCAGTGATAGGCACCTTTACCTGCTGAGCCGTCTCACTGGCCTGAGATCAACTTTTCAGATTCAACCTATACAGGAGATCATGCAGTGTTCCTTTCTGTGCCTGGCTCATTTCACTTAACAACCTCCTCCAGTTCTTTTCATGTTGGTACAAATGACAAGATTCGCTTCTTTTTATGACTGCGTAGCAGTCGGCTGCTTATATGCATACACAGCACTCTTTGGTCATTTGCTGATGGACACCAGTACTGAGTCCTTCTTGACTCCTTGTCGGGAGCATAGCTGTAGGAAAGCAAGAGCAGGTGTCGCCTCTTTGCACCGACTTCACTTCCCTGGGTGTATGGCCAGTACCCGGATAGTTAGCCCATGCGGTAGTTCCATCCTTGGAATGCGAGGAACCTCCGTGGTGTTTTCTGTAAGGGCTGCAGTAATTAACCTTCCCATCAAGAGTTCCCCATCTTCCTCACCCTCCCTGCATTTGGTATTTTCTGTCTTTTAGATAATGGCCAGAAAATGGAATGCACGGTCTGACTGGGAAAATCTATTTGCATTTCCCTGATTATTTGTAGTACTGAACTTTTTCAGATAGCTGCTTGTACTCTTTTGAGAAAGGTTTGTTCAGATCATTTTCCCATTCTTTAGAAATTGCCTGTTATATGATTATTTTTAATTATGTGTATGGATGTGTGTTTGAGCAAGCATTCAAGAGGGACTACGAGGTGGGATCCCGGAGCTAGCATGGCAGGCTATCCTGAGCCACTTGATGTGAATACTGGGAACTGAATTCCGGTCCTCTGTAATTGCAGTTCATACACTCAACCGCTGAGCCATCTCCCCAGCCCCAAATTCCCTGCTCTTTAACTCAACTATCTTCTGCTGAGTGTTTCAAGTTTCTTATATATTCTAGATACTAACCCTTGTTAGATGGGTAATTGGTAATAATTCCTCTAAAATGTATCCTTATAACTTCTTTTGTTTGTTTGTTTGTTTGTTTACAAGACAGGGTTTCTCTGTGTAGCCTTGGATGTCCTGGAACTCACTCTAGCTGATCTTGAACTCATAGATCCACCTGCCCTCTGCCTCCCAAGTGCTGGGAATAAAGGGAATAAAGGCCCGGCCCCTTATAATTTCTGAATATGATAATAATATATGTAAACATGTTTAAAAGCTCAATAATTCAGAACAGCATCAAGATTAACTTAGTCATATATAGCATGATTTCTTAGCTCTGCAATAAATTCAGTGAAAATTGAGATTTTCTTCTTTCATCATTTCTATATTAGATATTTTTCTTGCTGTTGTATAAAACACCTTAAGGAAAGACAGGGCTTATTTTGTCTCACAGTTTGAAGGCATACATCCATCCTGGTAGAAGGCACGGCAGCAGGAGAAGAGGTCCATCGGATCCCACTGTACCCACAGGCAGGAAGGAAAAAAGGACGGATGTGTGTGCTCAGTGACTGCTCTTCTTCTTAACACGGCCAGCACCCTGGCCTACAGCGTGTTGCTCCTCATGGGGAAGGCGAGTCCTTTCACTTCAATTACCCTAACCTAGGAACCCCGGCAGATTCTCTCCAATCTTGTCTCCTTGCTGGTTCTAGCTTCCATCAATTGACCACCAATATTAACTATAACAATTACTTTTTTTGGTGTATCAAAAGTCCCTTCAATCTAGAAAGTATATAAGACAAAGATTACCCAGGATTGCTGCCCATAGAGATGATCCTTAAAAATCAGAGTTTTTAAAATACTCCAGGGGCTAAAATATCCCCAAGTGTCATATCCAGATGGTTTTCCAAATGAAATCCCCAAGTCTTTAAAAATCTACAGGGCAAGGAAAAAAATGCTTGGGTATTTTTAAATTCAGAATGTCATTGACACTAAATATAACAAAATGGCACCCCCTTGGGTATCAGTGAAGAATTATAAGTAATATTTAGCAAATACAATCCTGATTAAAATAATAAGAAGCCAAAGCCTCAAAGATAATTCATCCTAACAACACTAATCATTATCAGAAAATGTATTAGTGAAATTCACATTACTGATTAAAAGAAAATGTCACCTTCATACATGCTTAAAGGACATGATAAAAAATAACTAATGGGAGGCTAGAGAAATGGCTCGGTGGTTAAGAGCACTGTCTGCTCTTCCAAGGGCCCCGGGCTCAACTCCCAGCACCCACACGGCAGCAGCTCACAACTGTCCAGAAGCAGCTCCAGGTGGCAGGTGATCTGACACCCTCACACCAATGCACATAGAATACAATTAAATAAATTAGATATATATAGAAAGAAAAAACAAAAGCAAAACATTGTTTAAAAAATAACCAGATTCTGAGTTTTAAAAGCTAGTAAGATGAACATGGATGTTCGCTTCCCTAAGATGATACGGAAACCCGAGAACTGTTAAATCGGAAATCGCTGGAGATGAGAAAGGACAAAGTACAAAGCTAACCACAGCAGCAAACAAAAAGCAAAGAACAGCGCGACTGAAAACCCAGTCTCCGAAATGGGCATCTGATTCCAGTTCTGCCCCCGATTGGGTGACCTTAAACAACTCAACCGGGATGCCTGGAAAACAGCAGCCTTCTCCCCCAAGTATCTATCCGCAGGGATCGTCTAAAGACTAAATGAGTCCATTTCAGGGAACTTTGTTAGAATGTACTTGGCACATAGTGCTACACCCAGCATATAAACAGGCACTCGATGCCAAGCCTGATGACCGGGGCGCACCGCGCATAAAGGAAGGAGAAACTGGCCTCACCAGGTTGTCTTCTGACGTCTGTATACACATGGTGCAATGTATACACATGCACACGTGTAGACATGCATACATACATACACACATGAATAAATAAAGGTAAATTCAAAATTATTCCCGTACAAGTCAGAAATAAGATTTTAAAAAACGTTCAATGTTAACACCATTGCTTAGGTTTTCATTCTGGAAGCACTAGCCAAGACCCTGTAGTAGAAAAATAGAATTTTATAAATGCAGAAGAACAAAGATAGGGTCATGGTTTACAGACACTAAGATACAGACCCTGAAAATACTAGAGGAACAATTGAAAACCTGCCAGAAACAAATACAACATACGGGATTTATTGAATGCATTTACTATCCCAAAGGGAAAAAGAAAAGCGACCTCAGGACAGTATGAGCAGGAAACTGAGGCTTTTGAAAACCCACCTTGGCAACGGAGCTTTGGAGATTCCCACATGCCCAGGGCTGTGCAGCGTGAAACTCTATCTCCTGAGATGCGGAGAAAGCCCTCTTTGCAGCTGTAATGGACCTGGCCCCCCAGCGTGGAGCTGTAATTTCCTACGATGTAACCCCCAGGGACTTCCGGAGGGATGCCACAGTCGATTTCTGAAAACACAACGGTGTCAACTTCTTTGCTTTATGAATGCAAGTTTTCAGGATCCCCGTCCCTCTCCACTCATACCCTGTGCTCACACCCCCAGGCTCCACTTTAAGAACACTGACTCATTTCCACTGACTACCTTTATTGCTCTTCTGGCTCTCCATACACAACAGCATCTAGACACACATAAACAGAAAGAATTTAGCAATCAACCCTGACTCACACTCCCGAAAGAGATGCCTTGTCCAGTGAAGGAAAAATCTGATTGCAAACTACCTTAAATTACATGTACTTTCTTAATTTCCAAGGTCACTTTGGAGACGCTGGGTTCTTACGCTGGGTTCTAGTAGGCAATGGTTAATACCAAAATACTTATTAATTGCTAAAGTTTATCAATCCCTGATGTTTAGCTTTTTTGTTTGCTTGTTTGCTTTTCAAGACAGGGTTTTTCTGTGTAGCTCTGGCTGTCCTGGAACTTGCTCTGTAGACCAGGCTGGCCTCGGATTCACAGAGATCCACCTGCCTCTGCCTCCTGAGTGTTGAGACTAGAGGCGTGTGCCACCATGCCAGGCTTGTTTAGCTTTTTAGAAACATCTCGATTTGGGCCATTTGTTTTATTTCATAAAAACATGTGAAGATGGTGCCTACTCATATCTCCAATGCAGACCTATAAACATCAGAACACGAGAAAATAACGCCCACCAACTCTCACCGTCAGAAGCTGCACTCCCCGGGAGACACTCACCTGTGCATGACGTGGCATCTGTGCTTGGCTGGAAGGGCTCAGGCCCGTTCTGTGCCAAGTATCCTTCCTTGCAGTAGCATTCGAAGCTCCCAGGGGTATTGACACACTGGCCTCCATGTCTGCACAGGCCAGAAACTTCACACTCATCTATATCTTCAGACCCATCCCAAGATGTAAAAAGAGGGGAGGAAAACAGAGAAAAGAAGGACATTGTGGTCATCACGTTTTCACATCGTCCACCAACCCGAATAAATGCATGCACTTCCTTGTGATTGTACTATCATTTTATTTTGCTCTTTGTTTCAATGGCCAGCACTCTCTCTCTCTCCTCTCCTTCCCCTCTCTCTCCATTTAAAAAGTAATCTTAAAAATTAAAAAAACCAAGGCTAGAGAGATGGCTCAGCAGTTGAGAGCCCGGCTGTCCTGCTAGAGGGCCTGGGTTCGAGTGCCAGCACCCACAGGGCGGTTTACAGTGACTCCATGGCACCAGGTACACCTGTGGTACGCCCTCACGCAGCACCCAGGAGGCAGCGGCAGGTGGGTCTCTGTGCATTTGAGGCCAACCTGGTCTATCGACATAGTGAGTTCCAGGCCAGCCAAGGGTTAACATGCTGAGATCCTGCCTCAAAAATAAGTAAATAAATGTTTATAGAGCAGTGAGACAATGGCCTGGCAGGCACAGGCCCTGAATTTGTCCTCCAAAGCTACAAATGAAGAAGAAAAAAAAAAAAGTCTAAACTGAAGTCCTGGATATAAAACAAGTTACTGAAGATTAAAAAAAAAAAAAAAAAAAAAAAAAACAAAAACAAAACCTAGGACTGGAAAAGCTGGGCTTTCCAGCCTAGGTGAATAGGATTATGTGGCAGGTATGTGTGTGTCTGTGGGGGTTGGGAGACTCACTGGTCCTTCCCTCTCTTTCATGTATCTTTGTTATTTGTTTGTTTGTTTTGTTTTGTTTTGTTTTGTTTTGAGACAGGGTTTCTCTGTGTAGCCTTGGCTGTCCTTACTTTGTAGACCAGGCTGGCCTCAAACTCACAGAGATCCACTTGAGTGCTGGGATTACAGGCGCACGCCACCCCTCCCCACCCCCCTTCCCCTTCGCTTCTTTCTTCTATCTTTCTTTTCAGGGCTGGAATGTAGTTCCATCTTTGGCTTTCAAAGAAGGGGAGCGGGGCTGGAGACACGGCTCAGTGTTTAGAGCCCTTATTACTCTTGAGAATTTAATGTGGTTCCAGCACCCATACTGGGCCACTCACAACCGCCAGCTCCAGGGAATTCAATGCCTCTAAAGGTGTCTGCACACACATGCCAGATAGTCACGAAGAGATACACACATACGCATAAATAATAAATAGTTAAACTAATTTTTTTCTTTTTTTTTTTTTTAAGAATAGAATTTCCTAGAACATGTCCTGAGACTTGCTTTGGTTGGGGGATACAGAGCCTGCTGACCTGGTCTGTAAGAAGCCTCGAAGCTTCCTCTCTCTTACTCTCAGAATTCGTGGCCATGCTGTAAGAACAACTAGACCACTGAGCGTAGAAGAGGCCTCAAGGAAAAGCTTCGAACATGAGCTACCCTGTGGAGGGAGAAGCCGTGTGGAGAGCAGAGCGAGCAGAGCGACAAAGCCACTTGTTGGGATGGAGGTTCTAACACACAAAAGGCCACCGTGGCCAGTCATTTCCATCAGTGTGCGCGGTTGTCAGTCCACAGTGATATAAAAAGATTCCTACGATTAAACCAAAAATTGTGGGAAACACCAAATTGTTCATTTTGTGTGTGTGTGTGTGTGTGTGTGAGAGAGAGAGAGAACATGTGTGTACAAGTTCATATGTGTGAATGTAGGCATGCATGTGCCATGGCATTCGTGGGCCAGAGAACAACCTCAGACACCCGTCCTTGCCTTCCACCTCATCTGAGGCAGGGTCTCTCTCTTGTTCTCTGATGTGTACCCTGGTTCACTAGCTCACACCTGTCTGCAATTCCCTTCTCACCTCAAGAAGCTAGAATTACAGCTACCATGTGCTAATGCTTCTGGCTTTGCGTGGATTCTGGGGTCGAACTCCAGGCTTCACTTACCCAGGAAACTGTTTCCTCAGCCCATAAATTGCTCTCTTAAGCCACTAAACTTGAGGGAGCTCTCTGGGTGGCAGCAATAAATAATCAAAATACCCCAAACAATAAAAACAATTAAGAAAATAATGTATCGGTTTTAAAAGAGGAATTTCTAGGAAAGCAATAAAACATTGCCAATTGAAAACAAAATATGAATGCCAAAAATAAAACCTCAAAAGGCATTAGACAATAGAGAAGCTAATGCTGAAAACAGGTTTACAAATCCCAACTTGAGGAATCCTCCCAAGACACAGTGAAAAAGTTGGCATGCGACAAAAAGGAAACTCACAGAAAGAGACAAAAGAAAAGCCAACAACTGTTGAAGAGAAAATGAAGAAAATAAAGGAGAAGCTGTGCAAAAGTTCATCTCAGGGGCTAGACAGATGGCTCAGTGGTTAAGAGCACTGTCTGCTCTCCCAAACTAGACCCAGGTTCAATTCCTAGCACCCACATGGCAACTCACAACTATCTGAGATGCGGCTTCCAAGAGATTTGTCACCTTTACACTAATGCACATATAATAAAATTAAATAAATTATTTTAAAAAAAGAGTTCATCTCAAAGGGAGGGAAAAATCAGCCCCTGCTCACACATTCAGAGTTTTAGGGTCATAAGCAGGAACACTGCAAACAAAGCCATTCTCCTACGTCAACACAGCACCCTGGCTGGAAGATGAACCTTACACTGGGCCATGGGGCTCCAGCCTTGTGCTAGGCCCACCCTTCCTGTCAGCCCCCTCTGCAGCTCCCTTACCTGGTCTCCGCGCCCTCTCAGCTCTCATGCACAGGGCACAGGGCACTACCGCAACCCGGTCCCTACCTCAGGAAGAAAGACAAGGATACAGCTGGCAGGGAAGGCAGTCTTTGATACAAGTACCAGAACTACTTCCAAACCCCAGGATAACAAGAGAGCCAAGTGCCACGTCCACCTTCAAAAGCAGTCTTTAGAGACAAAAGTGCGTTTCCGGTTGCCTTGCTCAGTGGCAAGCGTGGGAGGTGGAGAGACAAAGGGCTTTGGTGGGAAGATGGAAGATCTCCAAAACTCAGTGGTGATATTGCGGAATGCTATGAATATAATACCACAGTGGAATCGGGCAGGCAGCTAGTTTTGAGGGAGAAAGAGCAAACTGGGTTAAGTATGGCGGTTCATAACCCTAGCCCTTGGGAGGCTGGGGCAGGTAGCTGCCACCCCTTCAAGGCCTGCCAGGGCTGCTTACTGCTTCAGGTCAACCTTGGCTACAGACTCATATCCAGCCTCCGGGAGGGAGGGAAGGAAGAGACAGACAGACTGACTGACTGACTGACTGGCTGGCTGACTGACTGACTGGCTGGCTGACTGACTGGCTGACTGACTGACTGGCTGACTGACTG